CCTCTTGTGTTGTTGGAAAACAGTGTTTATGATGACCATCTTGCTCTCATGACAAAACTCTATTAGCCTTTGCCCTGCTTCGTTCTGAACTCCAAGGCCAAACTTACCTGTTGTTTCTTTTATCTATTGACTCTCTACTTTAGCAATCAAGTCCCCTATAATGAGAAGAAAATCTTTCTTTGGTGTCAGTTCTAGAAAGTGTTGTAAGTCTTCATAAAATTGGTCAATTTCAGTCTCCCCGGCATTGGTGGTTGGTGCATAAACTTGGATTACTGTGATGTTGAAAGGTCTGCCTTGGATTCGTATTGAAATCATTCTATCATTTTTGAAATTATATCCCATTACATCTTTTCCCACTCTTTTGTTGACTATGAGGGCTATTCTATTCCTTCTACGGGATTCTTGCCCACAATAGTTGATATGATAATCATCTGAATTGAATTTGCCCATTCCTGTCTATTTTAGTTCACTGACACCCAGGATATCAATGTTTATTCTTGTCATCTCCTGTTTGATCACATCCAGCTTACCAAGGTTCATAGATCTTACATTCCAGGTTCCTATGCAGTATTTTTCTTTGCAGCATCAGACTTTCCTTTCACTTCCAGGCACGTCCACAGCTGAGCGTCCTTTCGGCTTTGGTCCATCCACTTCATTAGCTCTGGAGCTACTTGTACTTGCCCTCCGCTCTTCCTCAGTAGCATGTTGGATGCCTCCCGACCTGAGGGGCCCATCTTCCAGCGCCATATCTTTTAGCCTTTTGTTTCTGTTCATGAGGTATTCTTGGCAAAGATACTGGAGTGGCTTGCCAATTCCTACTGCAGGGGGATGGCGTTTAGTCAGAATTCTCCACTATGATCTGTCCATCTTAGTTGTCTCTGCAGAGCATAGCCCATAGTTTCTCTGAGTTACTCGAGCCCCTTCGCCACAACAAGGCAGGCTCCAGCTATAAGTGACAGGCGTGCGTGGGGCATCCATCACAGGGACCACTGATTTAGTTGACAGAGCTAGGGCATGCATACTTCTCCCATAAGATCCTCTGCATATGAAACAAAGCAAAATCAGAAGAGATAGCACAGGGAACCTGAACTGGTTGTCCATTCTAGTTCAAGGCTGTTGCTAGGCTGTGGTTCCTCTTATCTCTCACCAGGCTAATTGTTAATTAATAACAATGTATTTTTCATTTCACTTGCCTCTTTTCTCTAGTGTCTCACTGGAACTAATGTATAGTAAAGCAACATTGGGAAGATCATGCTTAGTTCATCCCTGTTCTAATCAAACAGGACACGTTCCAAAATCAGCTTATAAATGCAGAAGCAACCAACCGATTACATTGACACATGGCCGTTTCCAGAAGTTCACACCTCTACTCTCAAATTACAGTTTAACAGTTACAAGGGAAGTAGAAAAATTCCCTAAGAAAACAGCACAAGAAAAACACTTTTGGCTATGAATTGCTGAAGCTTTATTTGTACCTCTCCAGTTTAACATAGAATACACCTCTTCTCTCTCCCTTCCTCCAGGACCGAGTCTGACTCAGAAGGCCTACATGAATTGTGGCTGGAAGAGGTGAGCATACACCTTTGGTACTCGTAACAGCTCTTTTATTTCCGTGCAGTTGACAAGTGGAGAAAGAGGACAAGTTGACCCCAGGAAAGGCCTAGAGAAGATTACTTGCTAGTGGGCATTATGAGTCACATGTGTTCTTATTGCTATCGGGATTTTTTTTTCTTTCTAGAACACTGTTTTCTACAATGACAGAATGGGTAAAGCACACCCTGGAAAATACCTTGCAGCTGATAGCAAGACTGCG